GGTTACCAGAGAGAAGGTTTTAGGAACATCATCAAAATTCAGTTTGCAGGGGAACGTCTTCTCTACTTTTTTTCCTAAAGTAGCTAGGAGACTGTTAAGATCTATGCTTATTAGCATTTTACAGGCTGTCACAGAATAAAGCAAAATGGCTTGTTAATACAAATGGCCCCAGTGAATTAAATTTAGTCAATTCAAAGGAATTCCATTTTGAAAAGAAGTAAGGGGATGTTGGAGTTAGGGGCCTTTCCTGACAGGGCCAGAAATAGTTACACTTCCAGGACATCATGGATTCCATTGAGTTTAAGTGTGTGCTGGCAAAAAATGACTATTACGGATGCTCGGGCTTACTCCGATTTGCTCTTCCTGACCATGTGCTGTGTGTAGGCTTGCTAGGAGTCCATACATCCTAAGAGCGTGGTACTGCGGTGTTTGGTTGCCAGCTCTATCTTCTCCTTCTCCATATGTCCCACCACACTCGCTTCTGCACACCTCTGCACCCCCAGCTCTCAGTTATTTCTGTAGTTCTGCCTATGTCACACCCAGGCCCCCATCTTATTCCCTTAATTAGGTCTCTGTAGTTTCCAGGCCTCAAACCTGCCCTGATTTCACCAGATTCCTTAGTGCATCCTCCTCAAATTTCTCATTTCCACCTTGCAAGTTTCCAAAAGAAGATTCCTTCCTGGAGCTATGCTAACAAGTTTAAGGACATTCGTTTCTATTTCTTTACTTTTCCCTACTCCTTGTCCTTTGCAGACCATTCTTCCTCTGACCAGGAATGTTGGTGTTCCTTACAGGTCTGTCCTACACTCTCTGTTTTCATTCTACAGACTCTTTCCAAAGAGACCTCCTCCTTTACCGTCCGTTTCTTGTTAACTTGCAATCCACATACAAGGCTTTTGAGTTCCAGATCCGTTTGGCCAGTCAACAGCTACATGTCTCCTCTTCAGTGTTGTATTGGTTTCTTAGGGCTTCTATAACAAATTTCTCCAGGCTGGGTGGCCAGACACAACAGAAATTGTTAGATAACATAGTGATATTAGAATTACCTCTGTTAGTAAAAATAATAGCTTGTGAACTAACATGGTGATTGTTAGAAATAAGCTCTCATGGAGAATGGGAAGAATAAGGGTTTGTGTGTTGGCTAAAACACTGTGGAGACACCCCTTGCCTTCCATGACCAGGGTACGAGGATCTTGCAGAGTTGTAGCCTGTGCTCATAGAGTGGGTGGGCATCTGAGGCTGGGTCAGTGACTAACCTTGTGTTCAACCTCTGCCTTTAGAACATTTTTGGTTGTCTGGGTCCAACTGAGAGGAACTGAATCCTTCCTCTGGAACTGTCGTTACTGTCTTGACTAGATCTTCCTAAGAAAGGTGATGCTAATCATTCCCAAAAGACAGAACTGGGACTTCATTTGAATGTACAGAAATGATTGCATGAGCTGTTTTGTGTCTACTTTCCAATAAATTTTTATTGAAAAAGTGTCCTTGTGATAGGAAGAATTCGGGCTGAGATTTTCTTCCCCTATAACCTGGCAGGAAGGTGACGAGAGAACAGATAAACTTCCCCACTCTAAACTTCTTCAGCAGATGCTGTTATCTATAAAGAGAACTTAAGACTTGTGTGCATGACCCTTGGGCCAGTTCACAACATAAGTGTATGTAAAAATAATAGCCCCTTCATTCACCAACATATGAAGTGAAACATTAGACTTGAAATGAACAAATACAAAGTCCTTTATCTGGGCAATTTAGAATTGTTGCTTTAAAGAAAAACTTCCTTTCAGCTTCGGAAAATATCTAGAGGAAAGTACAAGAGGAGAAATTCAAAGATTGCTGATGACCACATTAAAAGCCAAGTGGGGAAGGTCCCAGACGCCCACTTTGGGAGGACAACTGTGGCAGAGCCTGGCGAGATGGAGTCCTTTTGAATTCAGTGGCAATGATTTTGGTTAGGAAAAACACGTCCCATTACAATTATCTTTGCCCTTAAAGATGTGCGACTTATTTCTTTCTCTTAAATCAAGACCAGACTAGAGCCAAATGCCAGCAAATCCGTAACAGGCTTGACCGACCAATTAGCAGGACTGTGGAATTAAGGACAGACCCATCCGGCCTAAGGAAGCAGCAGTTCAGGCTCAAGTCCTGCCTAGTCAGTATCTTCCTCTGCACACTTCCTCTGGTTTGAGACCCTGAGGTCAGCATCTTGGGGACCACAAAGCAAGCAGCAAATGACTGGCAAGGGGAGATTTTATTTTGATTTGTATTGGGGTGAACACGTCTCGATTAACCTGATATTTAAGACTGTGTGGTTTAATCTCTGGACAAGATAGTGGAAGGATTGGGAAATGGATAAATGAAGAAAGGTAACACCCTCTACTCATGCTTCCCTATTTTCACTTTTAAATGTTACTAAACCAATTTCCACATTGACTTCCCTTCATTCCAAGGCAAACTGCTTTGTTTCTTATTCAGTTGTCACAACATGCTGATCTGTCACATGTATTTGCAACTTCAGGGGGTGAGGGAAGAACGAAAGAGTGGCCAGTCTGGTAGGGAAGATAAGGTGGTATGATTTTGACAATCTGAAAAACCAGCTGGCAAACCTTCCTGAAGCCTTAGCCTGGCGAGATGGAGTCCTTTTGAATTCAGTGGCAATGATTTTGGTTAGGAAAAACACGTCCCATTGCAATTATCTTTGCCCTTAAAGATGTGCGACTTATTTCTTTCTCTTAAATCAAGACCAGACCAGAGCCAAATGCCAGCAAATCCGTAACAGGCTTGACCGACCAATTAGCAGGACTGTGGAATTAAGGACAGACCCATCCGGCCTAAGGAAGCAGCAGTTCAGGCTCAAGTCCTGCCTAGTCAGTATCTTCCCCTGCACACTTCCTCTGGTTTGAGACCCTGAGGTCAGCATCTTGGGGACCACAAAGCAAGCAGCAAATGACTGGCAAGGGGAGATTGTATTTTGATTTGTATTGGGGTGAACACGTCTCGACTAACCTGATATTTAAGACTGTGTGGTTTAATCTCTGGACAAGATAGTGGAAGGATTGGGAAATGGATAAATGAAGAAAGGTAACACCCTCTACTCATGCTTCCCTATTTTCACTTTTAAATGTTACTAAACCAATTTCCACATTGACTTCCCTTCATTCCAAGGCAAACTGCTTTGTTTCTTATTCAGTTGTCACAACATGCTGATCTGTCACATGTATTTGCAACTTCAGGGGGTGAGGGAAGAACGAAAGAGTGGCCAGTCTGGTAGGGAAGATAAGGTGGTATGATTTTGACAATCTGAAAAACCAGCTGGCAAACCTTCCTGAAGCCTATGGCTGTTCATTTTCCAGATGTGAGAGTCCCCACTTTAACAAGGGGCCCAGGGAGAATGATCCAGGCTGATGGCAAACCGGCTGGGCGATGGAATATCAGCAGTGCATACGTTGGCACTTCTCCATTCCAGCCTCTATCTATGTATCTATGTATGTATGTATGTATGCATGCATGTATGTATGTATGTATCATCTATCTATTTTTCTATCTATCTATCCATTCATTTAATTCTGGTATAATTGACACCTAACATTATATTAGTTTCCAGTGTACAACATAATGATTGGAATTTTCATATACTGTGAAATGACCACCATGATAAATTTAGTTAACATCCATCATAATGCATAGTTACAAAAAATTTTTTTCTTATGATGAGCTCTTTTAAGATATTAGCAACTTTCAAATATGCAATACAGTATTATTAACTACAGTCACTCTGCTGTACATTGCCCATGACTTAATTATTTTATAACAGGAAGTTTTACCATTTGACCCCCTTCAGCCATTTCTCTCAACCCCCCACATCCCTCTGGCAACCACCAATCTGTTCTCTGGATCTATGAGTTTAGTTTTATTCATTTAAAGCAACATATAAATGGGATCTTACAGTATTTATCTTTCTCTGTTTGACTTATTTAGTAGACCTATTTTCTACCAAATGCCATCATGTTCCATTCACATCACTGTAAATGGCAAAATTTCATTCTTTTTTATGGCTGAATAGTATTCCAGCATGTGTGTGTGTGTGTGTGTGTGTGTGTGTGTGTGTATTCTTTATCTATTCACCCATTGATGGACACTTAGGTTGTTTCCTTATCTTGGCTATTGTGAATAATGCTGGTGCAGATACCTTTTGGAATTAGCATTTTCATTTTCTTTAGATAAATACCTGGAAGTGGAATTACTAGATCATCTTAAGGAAACCCCATTCTATTTTCCATAGTGGATGCACCAATTTACATTCTCATCAGTAGTACACAAGGGTTCCCTTTTCTCCATATCCTCACCAATCCTTGTGAATTCTTATCTTTTTTATGATAATCATTCTAATCGTGAGGTGATATCTTATCATGGTTTTGATTTGCATTTCCCTGATCAGTGATGTTGAGCATTTTTTCATGTGCCTGTTGGCCACCCATGTCTCTTCTTTAGCCAGAATACCTTTATAAAAATGAATTCCAGAGGGGACCCCAGAGAAATTCATTGCAAGTAGCCCTCCCATTTTGCATGAGGAAACACGGAGGCCCCAGAGAGAAGTGGCTTGGCTCAGGTGAGGCACCTGTTAGTGGCAAACCTGGAGTTAGAACTCAGGTTTCCCTCTTCCTCTTCCCAAACTGGGCACCACCTCCCTGATTTCCTGGGTCTGGGGTTACACGCCGCGGGCCCCCTGCCTCCTGAGTGGAACTCACTGAGTGTTCTACTGCACATTTTCTACTCCAGTGGGTCTTTCTTGTAAAGATGAAGAGGGATGGTAGGTCCTCAATAGATGCTGATTATTGGCTAGCCTCTGCAGACCAGCCATGGCGTGGGGGGCTGGGGTTCTAAAGGGAATGGGGCTGTGGTAAGAGAGCCAAGGGCCATAGGCTCAAAGGTCTCTCCCTCTCGACTCTACCAAGTGGAAGGTCATTGGAATTAAGAGTCTTCTACTTTTTCTTCTGCCCTAGGCCCCTGTGGTGTCATTTTCTGCCTACTGAGCTATTCAGGGGCATGTTGCCACCGTAGAACTCTGGGAGGAGCCCAGGACTGAAGATGCTGGCATTTCCACCAAGGATACTGTCTTTGATGGGGCCAGAGTTGCTAGTGCCCCTTCCTGCTTCCCAGGTAACTGCGGGTTCTAGGGGTGCAGACAGTCTGTGCCACAGCCTTGGGCTCTGCTAATTTGTTGGTACAGCTGAGCTGCCAAAGTTGCTCATGTTTTCTACCAAACAGGGGGTCCTCTCTCTTCCCACTGTGTATACCATGCCTGGGCTCCAGGCCAGCACTGGTCTGAGTGACAGATTTCCATGCAGTCCCCAAAATGTTCTCTCGTTCCCCCATGATTGAGACATTTTTCTTTGATCAGCCTTCGATGATTAAGTAAATGGGCCCAACAGGCCTTTAGGGATGCCTATTCGCACCTGAATCTGCAGGGAAACACAGCTTAAGTTCAAGTCAAGATCCCTGCTACATAGAGAACAATGGTGGTTTGTTTTTCTGAAACTTCTGCAAGAGTTTTTGGTTCTTTCATACCCAAGAAAAGGTCAGAATGATCCTGATTCTTTAATATGTGCAAAAACTCACTGCATGGAAAAATTTTTTATTGTGGTAAAATTCACATAAAATTTCCTCTATTAGCCATTAAAGTGTACAGTTTGGTAATATTAAATACATTTACATGTTGTGTGACCACCACCACCATCCAGCTCTAGAACTCTCTTCATCTTGGAAAATTGAAGCCCTCCACCCATTAGACAAATTCCCCGATCTCCTTCCCTCTAGCCCCTGGCAAACACCATTCGCTTTCTGTCTCTGTGATGCTACTCTAGGTATCTCATGTAAGTGAAATCATATGGCATTTATTTTTTTTTGTGATGGGCATATTTCACTTGGCATCATTTCTTCAAGGTCCACTCATGTGATAGCATATGTTAGAATTCCCTTCCTTTCTAAGGCTGAATAATATTCCACTGTATTCATGCTAAGTTTTGCTTATCCATTCATCCTCTGATGGATGTTTGAGTCACTTCCACATTTTCGCTGTGGTGAATAAGGCTGTTATGAACACGGGTGTACAAATACCTCTTTAAGACTCTGTTTTTAACTCTTTTGGTGTATACCTAGAAGTGGAATTGCTGGACCATATGGTAATTCTATTCCTAATTTTTCAAGGAGCTGCTATACTGTTTCCCACAGTGGCTGCACTATTTTCCATTCCTGCCAAAGGTTCCAGTTTCCATGCCAACACTTGATATTTTCTGTTTTGTTCTGTTTTGTTAATAGTAGCCATACTAATGGGTATGAGGTGGGGAGCAACTACATTTTAAAGTAACTTTGTTCTCAACTGGACAACCTTATGATGGTATGTTTACCTATGTGAACATGAATTAGGGTATTTCTCCAGGCTGCCTGTTAACTGTTCTAACATGATGCTATTGTTACATGAAGAATGGACAGGCAGATCCAAGCAGAAAGACACAGTCAGTGCCTATGTCATGAGAAAACGGAAAGGAATCCAGGTAGGATGCTTCCTAAGGGCAAGGGCAGTTCAGTGCAAGTGGGGACAAGGCCGAGTAGAACCGGTGAGTGCCTCATGCTAGACTGGTCAAATTATGTCTCTTGGACTAAGATCCTCATTAAAGGCCTGCACCTCAGACACATTTTGGCCTCCCAAGGTGCATCATTATGGAAGACCTGGCATGATAATAGTAATTTAAATGAAGTTAAAAGAGCAGTCTAAATTAGAACAGGAACTCATGTTTCAATTTCTCTCCAGGAGAGTCTCAATGGGATAAAGAAAATGCACCAAAGAATAATGAGGGAGATTAAACTTTTGAAGGTGAACTTTACCAGCCCCAATGAGCAGGGTTTAGAAAAATGCAGCATATCCCGTGGCTCTAAAGGTTCTATTGTTTTCTTCCAAGTCATTTCTTTACAGAACAAGGTTCAGCAGCTTGCTTTGCCCTGTGATTCAATCACATTCTGTTAGGGCCTTTCGTCAATTGCTACTTTGTCCCTACTAGCGTAGCCATTGCTAAATAGCTACATGACGCCCCATGAGGGTGGGATTCAGAATGACTTTCTTGGGGAATGCTGGGTAGAGGATGGAGCATTTTTTTCTGCATTTGCCTCCAGCTGTGCCCCACTGCAATCTTTCACAGGCTTGGCACCCAGCAGGCGAAGGCAGGATAGGGAGAAAGGGAGTAGGGAGGGGTCATTTTCTTGCCACACTTAACAACACCCAACAGAGGAAACGCACGGCAAAGGTGTGGGAGTTTGGCTGACCGGTGGTGAAAAATAAGCACAGTTTCCTCTTATTTTCATTCCTAAGTGGTGAGGAGTCAGTATTTCCTGCCAAGAAGAGAAGTGTCACCGAGAAGGTATCATTTGGGAACCAAAAAATATCAATAACCTGCAACTTTCTAAAAATTCTCACCTCTCACTCATCAGTATCATTTCTTAAAGTGATATCGAGTCTTTTAAACTGGGCTAAACCATTGTGTTACTTGGAGTCCTGAGAGACTGGCACCTCGAAGCATCACGATTTTCTCACACATCTGAATGCTTGAAGCAATTCCGAGTCCAGAGATCATTCTGTTATCTACCCATCAGTCCATCCATCCTTCCGTCTTCGAGGTGCCTCTTAATTCTCAACTGATTTTATACCGTCTAACATTGGTCTTATGTGGTCTTGTGACCACTGATACTTCCAGGTATATCTATTAGCTTTCCCATTGAGACTGCATCTCCTGGTATCTAGAAAGAGAACATCTAATAGTTTAAAAACATTTCATCAACATGTAGGGCAAAAGGCCAGGTACCCAACAGGTGGGCAATATATTCCCGTTAAAGTAAGACCTGGGAAATGATTTGCTCAGCCTGGCAGGGGAAGGCCTGCAAACAAGCCCTCCTCCCTGTCCCCCTGCAAGACTGCTGAAATTGTGGTCATTTTTCAGACTGTGGTTTATAAGATGGGCAGAACTGCCTCAATTACACAAAACATACAGGGCTGCCCAAGGAAAAAGCCTGCCGAGTGCAGGGCAGTCCTCTGACATTGACTCTCAGGTCTTGGAGCTTCCAGATCTCCTGTTTGCCCTGTCGCGGGCACATCCACCTTCAAGCCACCTTGTGCTCTTGCTAGCATCTTCTTTAGTCCCTGGTAGCAGCTGCTGCATTAGTGCAGAAAGAACCACACTTGACCTTCCAGACTCTGAGTACCATGTTTTCTTCCTTCATTGTCTTCTTTGCCAGACATTTAATGAGTAGCTGCAGAGGACCAGGCATTGGACTGGGCATGGGGGAATATAGTGGTGAATAATGCATAATCACCACTCTTTAGGGAAGTGGAGCCTTCAAGACAGACAACAGATAACCACAATTTACTGGGATAAGCATAACAGAGGAACAAAATGGAGAGGACCTAATTCTGCCTGTGAGCTGGGGGAGGGTTCACGGACAAGGTGATTTTCCAGTTGAGTCCTGAAGATAAATAAGCTGGCATTCCCAGGAGGCAAGCTGAGGAAGGCCAGCCAGGGCAGAGGGAATATTATGTGCAAAGATACAGAGGTGGGTAAGAATCCGGGATATTCAGCAGTGCAGAGGAGTTTGGTGTGAGTGGAGGAGCGTGGACGTGAGGGGGCGCCATTCGAAGGAGGGGGGTGGAACGGAAGGGGGCTGAAGCTGGAATGGATGAAGACAAGTCCTGTGTGGCATGCTAAGGATTTTGGCTCCTTTGTGTATGGGCAGTGGGGAGCCATACAGGGAGTGAGGAGACATCACATTTGTGTTTTAGGGAAGTCCATCCGGCAAGGAGGATGGCTAAGGAGCTCCTGTAAGTGTAGTGAAGAGATGACGCAGACTACAACAGGAACAGTGGAGGGAGGATGCTTAGAAGGTAGGAGCAGCTGGTGAGCTGTGCGCTCACAGAGAGAAAGAGGGAAAGAGGGAGATGTTCGGATTGCCCCAGGACGCCCAGCTCCAAGAGCTATGCATATAGCCGCTTTATTCACTGAGATGGGAATGTGGCAGGAAATAAAGACTTTGGAGGGAATGTGATATTTTGTGTTTGGAACATGTTGGACTTAGAGACACCCTGGCAAGTCTAGAACTCAAGGGGAGGGGATAAAGATACCAATAGTGTTTTAGGGCTGTAGGAATTCCCTGCAGTTTTCTCGCAGCTCAACACATTTAGGGAAAATGGGAAGCTTGATCTTCTTGAGCATTAGACAGGCTTGGGTTCAAGTTCTCTCCCTGTAATTCTCTAAGGGCGTGGCCTTACACAGGTCAACCAACAGTTACCGGCCTGCTTGCACATCTGCAAAATGGAGGATATTAATATCAGTCTGTAGGGCTGATAAATCAATCTTAGGGTTGTGCTGATGTGCTGAGGCATGCGAGACACTCTCAACAGCAAATAAAACCAGCAGGGTGCAGGGTTCCAGAAAGACCATTCCAAGCACTCAAGTAGGCTGTGTGTAGATTTAGCTATTCCCAAGATTCTCAATTAAAAAACCAGAACATTCTGGGAAATTTTCCCAAGCCCAGTGCAGGGATTCTTAGTGTGCACTATGTGAGGCCCTATTTCTTCACCTTGATTATTCCGGGAGGAAGCTGCAGATGCAAAACGACACTGGGCCCTGAGAGTCAACTCACATGTTCCCTTTCCTGGCATTCCAGAAAAACATTTGGAAAAAGCCCCAAAGCCTACCGTCCACACAGCAGCCCTCAGTGACTACTGCAATTACTCAATTACATGGTTATTCGCAAAGTGCAGATTATAGGGTTACTTAGCTGAAAGTTCTGGGACTTTACCAGATAAAACTAAAAAAAAAAAAAAAATACCAAACAAACCACGCAAAAGGACATTTTCTGAGCATGTGGCAGCATTTAGTTTTAGTCACCAAGAAATAACAACAAAACAAAACAGAACTGAGGTTTTTTGTTTGTTTGTTTTTTCTTTCTGGTTTTGTTCTGTTTGCTTCTCAAGGATGTGATAATCTGAGACCCAGGCTTGCTTACAGGGAGCAAGCCTTGTTTGGAAGTACCTGACATTCATACAATGGTAAAAACACAGGCTGTTTGCATTTTTTACGGGGACCGTTATGGTAATTTGTTGCCAGGTCTGT